CTCACTACATCTTCTCCAGTAATACATTTTGCAGGGTTAAGTGCAGTGTCTGCTGCTTCAGATGGCAGAAGTCCACCTAACAGAAGGGAGAGTGGCTGGAGACTCCTGTATCTAAAAGGGAACCAGAAACCAACATTTTAACCCATGGATGGGATGTACTGAAGAGAGAAAGGACTTTTGTTTTCCCATTTTAATATTTACCCAAACCAACCCCTAACAAACTTGGAAAGAGTAGGACTTTTCCCACCTCACCACCACCACTCACTCTCTCCCCCTAGGTTTTAAAGAGTAAAATCTAGTTTTATAAACCACAGATATCCTGGAGGAAGAGACATGAAGAGAATATGAAAACCAAGAAACAAGAGAAGGTGTGTGAAATAGAGGAAGATCTAGGCAACAGAGTTTCGTGTGGTGAATGCCTATGCTTTTGTGAGGGTCTCACCTTCTTGAGGCTACCTCAAGCAGGTGTCTGCAGAAACCTAGGGGGAATCTGGGGTAACAGGAGCAATTTGGCCCTTGTTATGGCATTTAGTTAGCATGAGATTCTTGTTCCTATCAGAGGTAGCTGACTCAAACGCTTCCAGAAGCCAAACAGGTAATTGCTAATGAGTGGAGTAGGAGGGAGGGAGGTGCAGAGAATTGGAGAGCTCCCTGCCTTCAACAGATTGCCTCCCTGAAGACACCTGGTTTGGTGTCGCTGGCTCTTCCAAGTTTCAAGGAAAGTCTAGGAATCCCAGTCCATGTGGGAACTAACACATGATGGACCACCAGCTTGCGTCTCTTCATTCAAGCTCATTATTGCAAACAGGCAAGGGGAAGGAGAAGCTGGCAGTGGCTAGCTCCAAGAAGTTTACAAATTAAAGTTGGGGTGTATGTGCAAGGGTGGATGGAAGACTTACAAATTCTCCAACAGGCAAGGAACAATAGGTTCTCATTAGCCAGTGCTAGAGTCTCCTTGCCTTGGTCCCAGGACTTGAAAGACAGTCTCTGCTTTCACAGTCATCAAGAAATACACACATGGTAACACTACGGAAACACTACATGGGCCTTCAGGACCCACAGAATTCAGAAATGTAAAGTAGAAATTAAGCCACAAACCCACTGAAAATTTTTAATGATTTTTCCATGATTAAAAAAAATCAGACTTATCTAGAGAGTTTATATCAAAATAAAATGAAATTATCCCTAATCCTGGGCTTGATTTTCTCTGAAACCTGAGCTTAGCAGCAGAGAAGACTGTGTGCAAGTGGCTGTAGATGGACAGTTGTCATTTTAAGCAAGCATATCAGGAATATAGGATGGAATGTAGACGTTATATTTCTACGTCAGTGAGAAAGGAGTTCAGGAAGATACTCAAGCACCTACCTGTTTGTCAGAAGTAGCCGGGCTTTCCAGGATGCTATCTCTGCAGTGAAAAGTGGCATGGGCCCTTTTCCAAGCTGGTATTAAAACTGGATAAGGTTCTCATGTGTGTCATCAAACTAGAAAATCCCCCACTGCAAGTGTATCAGGCTCACTGTGCCCAGTCCTGAGGAAGTTGCTTACTTTGAGGGATTTCTTTTCCTCCTGGAGATTGCCCTTTGTTTCCTAGCAGACTGCTCCCATAGTGGCTGCTGGGAAGAGGGGTGTAATCTGTGGCCAGTGGCCTCTAGATCACAAGAGCCCCATGAGGCAGCCCCAGATGACCCGATTGTTCTGAAGGACTGTTTTCTCTAAGTTTAGGATTTCTGAAACCTTAGTAAGGCTGCCATAGTCTTCTCAGCAGTATCTGAGAATGGGTCATTGCCTCGATGACCACTTAAGCATGGCCTCGATGCCAGATCCCTGTGCTGGTTGCACATATTCATCCACACATCCTGAGAAACTTATGGCAATAGTAGACCATCAGAAAATATTAAGACTGGCAAGATTGGCGGCAGTGACGGAATATGCTGTCAAATGTCTTAGGAACATGGAATGTTTTAGGAGACAGGAGACACAAACAGAATCTCTCTTGGATTCTTCCAAATGAACTTCATGAGCCACAAATGGAGGCTAACTTTGTGCATTTCATGCAAAGTAGTAGAGTGCTGGTAGGAAGAGGGGCAGGAAGAAATGGGAAAATTTCACCTTCCTTTTGTGCCACGTATTATTTAGTTCCTCATGACACCAACTTCTTAAGACATTTACAGATTGAAGAAGCTTTGACACTAAGTAGAAGTCAGCATGAGAGCTGACACTAAGTAGAAATCAGCATTGCAATGGATTGGCAATACCTGGTGGAATGAGACTGTGTATTGGATAGATCGTGTTGATACCTCATAGAGTGAGGAAAGAGCTAAGTAGAAGATATCCTGTGAAACAACTCTGTTTAAACTGGTTTAAATTATTAGAGATTTGCAAAAGATTTCATGTTATTAGACTTCCTCTGTCAAAATTCGAAGTTCTGTAAGTGATACTGTAGTTCAACTTTATCTGCATAAATCTGAGTCATATTCTTTTTAACATGAATACGTGTCACCAGATATTGCACAGGAAGTTTTAGAAACATTACATTGGTGTCATAGTAAAGGTTATTCACCTTTGTATTTCATCCTTGGTAGTTACACCCCAGAACATTTTATGGTGCAGTTATGTATTTTCTTTACAATATCATCTAGAATTAAGACACATACCTCTAAATTATTTTTTCTCAGACCCTCATTAATGGCATTTACTCATCTGATATTTTCAACCAATTGTAGTGGACTTCCTGAAGATTCTGGGAAATTGACTAATTGGGTGGGGAAGTGTGCATTTGGTTAATGGTGTTTGCATGGGAGTGGGATCAGAAATGGAAGCAAAGATACCATGTGCATACCTACATTAGACTTAAATCTTTAAAATGTATTTCTGTTCCTTTCCAACTGATTCTTGTAGTAAGAGCCCCATATGTTTCACTCAGCAGGCATTTGCTAGACATTCTCTTGATACTTCTTCAGAGTGTAGTGCATTCTGAGATATTCACGCACAACTCAACAATACATCTCTTGTGTTTTTCTTCGTAGACCAGTATTCCTGATCCTTTCTATCAGAATCACTGCATTTTTATAAAGTCCAATGAAAACCATAGAAAGTCCTACTCCCACCCCATCCCCTAAACTCAGCAGTCAGATATAAGTTCACGAATACCTTAAAATCTATTCATAGTCTTGAATCCAAACAAGAACTTTCTTTAAAACTAACGTTTTGTCTTAGCACTCCTTTTGTTTAAGGCAGATTCACAAACTGAAGGACAGACGGAGAGAGAGAGAATGAGAATGAATGAGAATCTTCTATCTGCTGGTTTACTTCTCAAATGCTTGCAATAGCCAGAGCTGAGCCAATCTGAAGCCAGGAGCTTCTTCTGGATCTTCCTCTCTGGTACAAGGTCCCAAGATCTTGCACCATCCTCTGCTACTGTCTCAGGTCATTAACAAGGAGCTGGATCAGAGGTGGAGCAGCTGGGACATGAACTGGCACCCATATGGAATGTTGATGGCACAGGTGGAGGCTGAACGTGCTATGTTGCAGTGCCAGACTCTTTAGCATTCTTTGTTATGTTTAAATCATTCAGGGCTGCTTTACCAAACTTTCTCCCACCTGTCTTACCTTCCTTATAACAAAAAATGTGATGTTCTCAAGGAAATGGAGAATGGAAATGCAGTAAAGTTTTGTGTCCATGAGTGAGTGAAAGCAAGAAGGTTAGTGAACCTGTTGAGGGATTTGCCACACTCTGAACATTTCCTTCTACAGATGTCAGCCACATATTATAGCATGGTACAAGAGCTGAATATTACAGCAGTCCTTGAGTGGTCTTCTCTCACACCCAGCACAGTCAGCCTCCCTATCCATGGGGAATATGTTCCAAGACACCCAGCGGATGCCTGAGATACACACAGACGCACAGACACACACACACTCAACTTTTTCCCTACACACATAAATTTTAATTTATAAATTAGACACAGTAAGAGATTAACAACATATCCTCAGAAATATGTGCTAGTAAATGAACCCTCAGCACCCTTTTTCTCACATTTATGTACTTGCTCAAAAATATTTCATGATTTTTCATATCCTGACACATACGTATACACTCCTCTTTCTGGCTTTCAAAGAAGCCACAAGTAATTTTCTTGGCATGTGGTGTTTTGAAAATAAACAAAAACATTAACCACACAACGACAACAAATTAAAATAAGCTGTGGTATCTTACTGACCATGATGAATTTATTTCATCTCTCTGAGCCTTAGTTTTTCTCTTTATTGAATGGGAATTCATTTTAGCTCTTACATGGATTTGTTGCTTAGCACATTGCCTTACAGAACGTTAATGCTAAATAAATAGTAACTACCATTGCTATAATCAATAAGGTCATACTAAATTCCCTTGTCTGCTAATTTGACTGGGACTCTGGGCTCATCATTAACCTTTCTGTGGGTCTGAGTTGGTTTATATGAGAGATGAGGATTGATTCTAATTTATAAAGCAACTAGAGGGATTCAGTGATCCCAACAGACAGAAAATGCTCATCAAGTACTGAGCCCTTCATGTGTTCGTTTGCCTATCCCCATTCCTCATGCTTGCTTCTCAATCTTACGTACAAAGTGGGCATCCTCAGATGCCCCATGCTAGACTCAAAGCAGCCTTAGCACCATGCTTTGCACTTCTTTCAAGGAAAACCCCCTTCTCTATCCATCACATTCTCATTGGTCTTAGAAATCCAAGATGATACCATTTCCTCCATGAAACCTTCACTGACTCATCCACTTGCCACCAGTCCCCCTCTTCAGAGAGCCAAGTGTAGTGCTTCAAGACAGACCACACACTCTAGGCATTGATTTCATTCTGCCTTGCTTATTGCACAGAGGCCATGAATTTTATGTCTACACAATCTTGGATATGGAAATTCAGACCCGTGTTGGTTCATATAGGTATGGGTAAATCTTCCTTGAGGGAAAGGGAAATTAAGTTCAGTTCTACTCTTTTGTTGTTGCAGCTGCTTTGCATGACCAAGGAATGGTTCAAGTGACCGTGAAAGACTACATGAGGTAGGTTACAAACTTAGTTACTCCCCTTCAGTATTTTACAGCTACATCTTTGGTAAGTGTCATACAATTAGGAAAGATTCTTAATAATACCATGGATCTTGCAATCTTGTGAAAATTCATAGGCATGTCTATCATGCCTAGAATGTTTTTATTAACCTTGAGAAAAGTAGAGGTTTCAAAAGTGTCATGGAATGAAAAAATTTAATGCATAAATGTCGATTTACTTAGAATCTAGGTACAAATCACATTTTATACAACGGCTCGTATGGATTTATCCATGAAATGATTACATTCATATTTCCATTTTGCCAATGTTATCAATGGTAGTGCTTTTTAGTGAAAATAGCACACACAACTTCCAGTGTTAATGTAGAAAAAAGTGAGCACCTATTAATACAATAGAGACTTGATCTCCATGTGTATAGCATCAAGGACACCTGGGAGCTTCAACCCAACATACTAAACTGTAAAATTTGGGAGTTCAGGAACCTCTAAGTTTGTAAGTCCTTCATATGAAATATAGGTTCTCTGTAATTTAAGAACTCCTGGAGTAAGTAATAAGCTTTATTTTAGAAAAAAATAGATGTTTTCTATTCATTTATTTGAAAGGCAGACAGAAGTAGAGGAAGCGTTTCCATTCAGTGGTTCACTCTTCCTGTGTCCTGAACAGCCAAGGCCAAGCCAGGCAAACAGTTAGGACCTAGATAGAGATGTTCTGGGTCTCCCACATGCATGACATGGACCCATGTCATTGAGCTATCATCAGCTGCCTGGCTGGGTGCAATTTAGTAGTAAGCCAAATCAGAGGGTATGGCTAGAACTTCAGTGCAGCATTCCGATATGGGATGCTGAAGCCCCAAGCAAGCAGTGCTCCCCAACTCACGCTGGAGCTAACTGAGGTTAGAAACTCTGTTTTCTCTGCTCTCATTACTCATGCATTGTCAGGAAAATTCTAATTAGCCAAATACCACATTGGTAGCACTATGTCCCTCCTCCTACCTATCAATTCACACATTTTCCCTCTTAAACAACTTGTTTTTGTTACTCATAGACACAACAAGCTATAAACAACCATGGAAATCTTTGAAGCCACTTTGATTATGTGAGGATCATTTTGTTAGGCAGAATGCAAAACAAGTTGCAGTCCTAAGTGAGAACATGTCTTCTGACTCTCCACAAGTTTCCCACCAAGTTCAAACAAATTCAAGCCTGAGTTCTTATTATGCAGAAATATGCTATCTCTCTTAATGAAGAATATCAACTAAGCAGGGACGAGGTAGGATCCAGCAACTCTTATTAAATGTCTTTAAGCCAAGACAAAGTCAGCAGCCCAAGTAGGATGACATGATCTTCTTGGGACTATTGATACCTGCATGGTTTTCTTTAATAAATTCTAATTTTGTGCCAATTACCGAATATATCCAGTAGTACTAGATGGGATCTATAATATAACAATGTCATTCTCTTTAAAAGTGCTTTTGTATGCTTTGCAATGCAAGCCTATAGGATAGAATGACACTCATTCATCCCATAGCAAAGGATCTTGTTACTGATGCGTGTGGATGGCCACAGAAGCCCTGGAGATGACACTTAGAAGTTGTTAACTGTGCAAACTGAAATCCCTCTCTATTGTGGGAATTAGCATGGTACCGCTTCAGCGGCTGCTCACCATACCTCTTTCATCACATCATTGTAACTTCTTCCCAAAAGTTGGTGCCTAGCAAAGCTGTATTCCTGAAATGTTCCCCAATGATTTGCCATCTGTCAAAAGTGAGACATTCTGTCACCTTTATAATGAGCACTAGCGGGCACTTGACACTTAAATTCTCACACCTTCTGTAACAGCACAGCGCTCTGGAAAAGAGGAGTGGCTGCTCAGCTGCACATTTTTCTTCTCCTCAAAGGCATGGCCATTGTGGGGTTCTTAGAAACTGAGAGGAAGTGCGATTGTCTGTTCCCTCCCTGGGGACTATATAAATCAACACATCTTATCCTTGGTATTTTCCCCACTGCAGATCTCTGCAACAGTTTTCTGAAACTCCCAACCTATCCAGAGGGACTAGTTTCAACTCTTTCCATTCTACTGCAAGTATACCACAAAGGTATGTGATTTCCACACACTTTTCATCCAGAGAAATCATGCTGTGCAACAAAAGAATTCATGAAATTACAAATAGGCACTCAAGAGATACTTAGCAAATGAATGGATTAAAGAATGAATACAGGATTTTCAAGCTCCAACTTGGAAGAACTATATAAAAGTCAGTGAAACTGCAAAGCAGGCTGAGTATCTGACAGTGGAAAAATGGCCAAAAAAACCATTGGCCCATGTATTTCATGGAATTTCATCTAATGATAGGAAGAGTAGGTAGAGATCAAAATGCTAATGTGGAAAGATGCTCAAGTCTTATTTTAAAGGGAAAAAAATAAGTTGTAGAAAAATACATAGTGCATTTACTGTGTATAAAGCAAACAGGTGAAATCTACAAACATGTATGTACACTAGACAGAAGACTATCTGGAAGGGTGTACTCTGCCGGAGCAGGAAGAAGTTCAGGATCCATGGGGGAGAAAGAGCCTTATGTGTCACATTGTGGTTCTTAAAAAAATGTGTATGTTTTATGTATGTCTGGCACTACCAAGTAAGAATTAACAGTTAATGATATGATATTCTTACAAGGATTTGAAAAATCCTTAGTGACAGGTCAATGAATAATTATTTTCATGGCCATGATACGGTGGCCTTTGGAAAATAGGCACTACCCTTGTCCATTTTGGTGCCATGGGCACCTGAAATATAGCTGAGAACATGACAGATGGTTGATACATATTCATAGGAATGAGTAAAAAAAATTGTACAGTAGGTTTGAATAATGACAGATAAAAATCTTCCATACACAGTTTTGATGTTTGCATCAATTACATTAAAACAGAACTCCATATGCAAAAGAAGCTTAAAATGAAAAGGAGTTAATATATGACTCCTTTTGTATTAAGAGATACATGTCATTGTAATTGAGTAAATTATACTAATAGTTCTACAGTTAATTGAAATGATTAAAGTATCCAGAGGATGGCATTGTGGTACAGCAGCCACCTACAGCACAAGCATTGCACACAGTTGCTCATTCAAGTCCTGGCTGCTTCACTTCTGATCCAGCTTCCCGATAATGACCTAGGAAAGCGGCAGAAGATGGCCCCAATGCTTGGGCCCTTGCAGCTGTTTGGGAGACTTGGATGAAGCTCCTGGCTCCTGGCCTTGACCCACTCCAGCCCTTACTGTTGTGATCATTTAAGGGTGAATCAGTGGATTGAAGAGCACTCTCTCTTCTGCATCTCCCTTCTGTCTCCCTCTGTAACTTTGCTTTTCAAGTAAATAAATAAATGTTTTATTTTAAAGATACCTAAAATGAGCTACTGAAGTCCTATGCCCCCTCCCTCCACCACCACAGTTTCTGGCTGATCTTTTCTACCTGGATGTAATCAGAAGGTAAAGCCACAAGTGTCCATGTTTCACACCAGGAAGTATAACTGTGATGCCGTTGGCATGTGGTGAATGGGTGCCTGGTGAGACTGCAAATGGCTGCTGATGAATGGAGAAATGTCTCTATGGACAAACTGTAGCTAATCCAATTTACATGATGAACTCATGGAAGTTGTGTGTCATGTTTAAAAAATATATTTAATGAAAAAGCAGAGTGATAGGGAAAGACTTCTGGTTTACTCATCTAATGCTCATGACAGCCAAGAGTAGGCCAACTGAATCTAGGAAAAAGGAATGCCCCATCTTGATCTCCCATATGACTGGCAAAGGCTACTTCCCAGGAATATTAGCAGAAAGTTACATCTGAAGCCTAGAGTGGGCAAGACTCCAATCAGCACTGTATGTGGCATGCAGACTTCTCAAGTGACAGATTCGCCAATTTGTTCTGCAACACCCAACCCATGAAAGTAAGGCTATCTAAACCATCTTAAATAAGCTGGTGGAACCTTATTAGAAATTCTGATTCCACCAGATCTTATAAGCTTACAAAAGTCTGTACCAGAGGAACCCATGAGAGATTCAGTAATTGTGAGATGAGTTGGTCAACGTAAATATAATTTCCAGCTAACAGACTTACCATTTGAAGTACCAAACCAGACTTGATCAGTTTGACTAAGGCATTTTCATTTCTCAACCAAATCCTCTGTCTTCTCCTCAACAAAGCCAGAGTGTGTTTGAATCCTCCTTGGGGACTTGAAATCGTTACTGGTAAGCATTCATCTTTGTGGTCTGTACTTGATCATGTCCAAATAGGTTTGTGCAGCTGAGGATTCCTCCAGCTGAATATTTATGGAATATCTGCCATGTTTTCAACTCCGTCCCAGGTGTCCATGACACCAAAATGGAAAGAATAGTGCTTACCCGCAAAGGCCACAGTCTCATGGCCATGAAAATATACCACTTGGTCTGTCATTAAGCATGTCAAAGCATCATAAAAATACCAAATGTTATAAATTAGTAGACCAGAATAAAAAGAAAAACAAAGCCCATCTATTTGTGCCTACAGCAGACATATCTACCAACAAATATCAATGGAAACTACATCTCATGGATTTTTTTTTTTTAGTTTCATCTCTTCAATACATTTTCTTCTGACTAAATTCATCACTGACTCATAGATCATACAGCAGCATCATTTCAATCAAGAAGGTTTTTTATTTTATTTTTCATTTCTTCAGTGAGACATTAGTCATTCAGCAGCATGTTATTTAACTTTATGGCATTTTTAATTTCTTTTTTTCTCTTCCTGGTTTTGATTTTGCTTTGTGGCTTTTCACTTAATGGAATGTATAGTAACTGTGTAATGGAGACTACCATAACCAGATGTGAGGATACAATGTAGTATGCATCTCTACTTACAGATCAAAGATGGACTCCCAATGAAAGTGTTTACTATATCTTAACAGTAGGATGTTGGACTCTGCCATTGTCCATGCCCACAATGATGGACTTATAACTGTTTATGAAGAACTATACTACAATAATAATACAGGGAAACTCAGTTTGGTGTGGGGGTTTTAGGGAGAGAGTAAGGGAAATCCCAGGGCCTATTGAACTGTATAATAAAATGATAATAATAATAATGAAAAATAAGAAAAAAAAGAGTATCATTAGCTTTTAGTTTTATGTCATGGTGTCAGACATACGCAAAAATTCCCTTAGTCTACTATGAATAGCTTTTCCTTTCCCTTTCTTGCCAATACTGTGATCATCAGTGTACCATCTCTAGTTCCTGCCCCACACTCTCCCTGTCCTAACGTAAATTTGCTACTGTGAAATAGAAATAGACATAAAGAGGCTCTTGATTTCATAGATGAAGTATAAGAAAACAGTCCCTGTAGCTGTGACCTGTCCCTTAAATAAGTGTACAAGAGAACTTGAAATGTTTATGGAAAACAGAATTAGAAAATGAGTTTATTTTGTTGGGATGAATTTTGAAATCTGTAGTTTTTCCAACTATGTGCCTTTTGTGAATTTTTGAAAACCTCTCATGTGACTGCATTTCATTTTTTTTTCACCAAAACAAGCTTAATATTTTAATCCATTTTCCCTGAAGTTTATAAAGTCTGCTTTTATGTAAACTCTAATGCATTTGCATCTATTTGCCTAGTCAGGTTGTTCCTACGCTGAATTTGCAGAAGACTGAATGGTTGAAGTGATTTTAGGAAGTGGCTTTTGGCTAAGTGAATTGGATAAAACTTTCATATTTTTTATTGCAGCATTCCCGAATGGCTGGAATTTTGGGAAAAAGATCCAGTAGAGATTCTCTTGGATCTGGGCTTTGGGACTGATGAGCCAGACATCTGTGCGCAAATCCCAGCCAGGTTTCTCGAGAGTGGCTCAGCAGCCAGGGGAATCAACACCCGTGTTTTTCTTGAGGCTCAAAAGCAGCGCGTGGATGTTGAGAATCCTAGTATATTTGGTAAGTAAGGACATGGTGGTATTCACATTTCAACACTGGCAATAAGTGACTGTTGAGCTTAAACCACGGTGTAACTGGGGCAGATATGTGGCCTGGCAGTTGAGATGCTGATCAGGGTGTCTCTGTTCTGTATCAGAGTCCCTGAGTTTGAGATTTGGATCCACTCCTAATTCCAGTTTCCTGCCATTGTGCATCTCTTATTGCTTAAGTAGTTGGGTCCCTGATACCCATGTGGGAAACCTGGTTTGAATTTCTAGGTACTAGGCATTTAAGGCGTGAACCAGTGTACTGGTGCTCTCTATCTTTATGTGTCTCTGCCTCTCAGATAAACAAATAAAGAAAGAAGGAATAAAGGAAGGAAAGAAGAACAGAGTCATGGTGAACCTGATTGCAGTTGTACCTATCTCTTTATTACATCAGGTTAAAATAGAAGCAACTTATTCCTTGATATCTCTGTGTATCACCACAAATTTGACCATATTGAAAAGGCATTAAAAGAAGAAAATTGATTGGCTGTCCAAAGGAGAGAAAGGAAAATTATGTCTCACTCAAAGTCAATATAAAAGGTTCATAGTTCATAATAAGAATCAATTGTTTCATTGTTCAGTCTACCCACAGGCAAAACTTCCCACTTGTTTCACATTTCAGAGTTCTCTAGATGGACTGTGCCAATTCATAGACAGGATTTGTTTAAGTATAAAACCTACTATGGATTGGGTATAAGGCAATCATAAAAGTTGAGTTATGATTCAATCATGTCTTCTGGTTCACTAAAGAGATTTAATTTCAACTGAAGCTTAACTTAGGGAAGAAGTAGAATCATTTCCAAACATCCAGAATCCAAGAGTTTGTCTGGGCTGTGAAAGAATAGCAGAATTATCTGTGAGAAATCCATCATAATGCTTGGAGTAAAAGGATGATTAGTCAAAATCTTCACATTTCATGTGAAAGAAACAGGTAGATATAGGAAAATGCTCCATATACTCACAAGTGTTGCTCTGATGGTACAACAGATAATAGAACAGAGGAGAACATTCTTGCCCACCTCTATGTCCCTTGGCCATTGCTGACTTATGCAACCCTGGGATTGGGAAAAGGCCATGTGTTAAAAAACAAATGTCCTGTTTCCTTTTGTCATTGTTTTACTGTCTTCAGATAGCAAAATTTCTTAATTACTTTGTTGAAACTGCCTGCATGTCCCTGAATTAGTCTTTGCAACTTTTGATCTCTCCAGTAAGCTAATTAATTTAATACATATTATCAAAATAATTGAGACCAAATAATCCAGAAAGTTTCCCAAGTTCGGGGGTTGGTTTGTTTTAAAAGACAGATAAGTCATATTAATGAATTTCTTCTGTTGAAAGACTGAGAACAATATGTTCTCTTCTTTTATAAATCAGTATTGTAGAAACTAATAATTACAAAGTATGTACTTTTACACCCTTGCTTTGATGTTCACAACAGATGCAAGTGATCCATAAAAAAGAGGAAAAGAGTGACTGTTTGCCATGTGCCTGACAATCAGCTACACATTTTGTATCTGTGAATTTATTTACTTCAAAAATCACACTTGCACTGACTGGTTGACCTGGGATTTGGATTCTGGCCAGCTGGTTTCATATACAGTAATCTTTTCACACTCTGGTACAGAATAGGTCAAGATGATGAAAGGTATCTACTGCATACATCTATGGAGGAATACATATGAAGGTAACCTCATATTGACAGAACTGGGCTCACTTTCACAGCATAATACAAGTATGTGTACACATACAGTGGGTTTTTAGAAAATCTGTGAAAGTATACATTATGAAAAACTAATTTTGGAGGAGTTATTTGTTTCAAAGGCCCAGTAATAGAAGCTAAAGAAAGCGAGAAAAACAGACAGAATTTGTATCCACTGGTTCAATCCTCAGATCCTAGCAATAGCTGGGGCTAGACCGGCCTCAAGCCAGGAGGCAGGAACTCCGCCTGGTTTGCTAGGTATCCTGTATGGATGCAGGGTCTCCATTACTTGAGCCATTATTTACTGCCTCCCAGATGCGTTAGCAGGAAGCTGGATCAGAAGCAGAGTATAGTCAAGATTTCAAGTAGCACTCTGATGTGAGAAGTGGGTATCCCAAGAAGTGGCCTAACTTTCTGTGCCACACTCCTGCCCTCCACATTTTTGGGGGCATAAAATAAATTTTTTATTCCATTTCCATGAACTATTTGAAGTTTTCTCATGTAGATCTTCTCATACCTACAATTTTTATTGGAGTGACATAAAAACTACTCTTATGTGAAATTATATATTCCTATATATAGTTATTATTATACAACATAGTTGAGGTCCCCAAAAAGTTCCTGAGAAATAAATATGAATATGAAAAGCTATATCATTGATTTAAAACATTTTTGTATCAAATTTATTTCTTGATTTTATTTTTTGAGCTTCTGGAAATATCTTCTTTTTGATATATATGTGTGTATATTCATATACATGTGTGTATATACATATACATGTATATTCATATACATTCATATACATGTGTGTTTGTGTATGTATATGTGTACACACATATATACACATCTGTGTGTATAGTTTCAGTAAATATGAAAGCTATTCCCATAGCATGGTAATATCTCATTGTATAGGAAAATCATATTTCACAATCATAGTGGCAGATAGTATGAAGGACTCCTATTTCAAGGACTGAAAATTCTTCCAGCTTAAATATTACATATTAACCAACTCTCCAGTTTTTAGTGCCTTATTCCCTACATTGACACAGTTTTATTGACAAGAGCTAGTCTAGAAATTGTGTTTCTTGTGTTGTTCAGGCCGTTTCCAACAGCTGGAAATATTGAACCATGTGACCAATGCCTTCTCATCTTTGCTGAATGACGTTGCCATCCCACAGAACAAAACACAGGAGAAATCTGGAGGGTGGAATGTGCAGGGAACCTCAGTGAGTGGGATGGAAGTGCCTCAGAGAAGAATGGAGAACCTTACAAGGAGAACTTCAAGACAGACCATTGAGAGGAACTACAACGCAGAAGCTCCAGAATCTTTCCGGAGGAAGGACAATTTTTTCACTCCCTCTGCAAAACCAGAAGCATGTGGAGCAGAGCTTTCAGCTGCTTCAAACAGACAAACCCATGTGTCTCCTTCAGCAGAAAATCAACCTCCCCAAGCCAATGAAAACAGGATAACTTGCCATCCTTCCCAAAGACTTCTTGGCAAGCAGTGGCCACACTCACTCCAGCAGGCCAAGCAGATTTCTCCTTCTTGTGGGTTTGAAGGGTCAGCCAAAGAGAGAATGCGGAAGGAGAACTTGAATCACTATAATCAGTTCAAGAACTGGGCTTGTCTTATGGATAAGCAACTAGACTCCTACGAAATGGAAGAGGTCAGTGCTGTGCCTAAATGGTCAACTTCCTGAGAAACATAACCTACATCATACAATTATTTGTCTTCCTGCCCACATTTATTCCATCTTTCAGCCTCACAGCATTGAATTTTGTTGTTCCAATTCAATGTAGTTAAGGACACTCAAAGTCAACCTGGTTGCTTCATTCAGGAAAACAATCATTGCCATATCACTCCACAGTTAAATCTAAGGGTCTTTTCTAATGTTGCTTTTGCTCAATGTTTTATTTTACATTTCATTATATTTTCTGTCTCTAAATTTTCCTTTTCCTTGAAAATCAGATCAATGATTTTCCACTCAGTGAAATTTTGCACTACACATCCTCCATTTTCTTATGGTTTTCGCAGAGACCTCCTTGTGTTGGAAACTGTGCATGTATCAATGGCATCTCCCAGTAGTTTCCCACAATGCCTAATGCAGGGCCATGGATGAATCCATGAGGATTTGAAGTTGGTTTTGACTTTAGCGGCTAGTAGGCTGTTTGTGTGTTTGTTTTAGGATTATTGACATTTGCAGCGCTTGACCCCATTTCACACAGATTCTCTGCTCTATCTGCCCCTCACTCATTATCACTAATTTTCGTCTTCATTTGGATGACATCCCCACCCGCACATTTCAGGCTCCTTTTATGCCATGAAAACCTGTACAAGTTTCCACACGTTTCTGTATTTACAATGGCAACTGGAATTGGGAGTTCGCTTACTGATAGCTCTCTTATTTAATATAAATCAAAGGGATAATTACAAGGAGATGATACAAGGATCAACATATGTCAAAAATCACATAAGTGAATAAGAAAAAAAAAGTCCTTTCCCAGAGCATTTTCAGTACTTTTATGTGACAGTTAATTTAATTAAAAAGAACCTATGTATTGATATTTACATGAGGAGGAAGGGCTACATTCAGGCGAGTTACGACCTCCCAAACCTCTCTCATAAGCCTTTGTCAGATTTTAAGCACCAAGCAAATATTTGGTGAATGAGTTCAGAGATGCTGTCAGATAGTATGTACAGATAGAAGAGTAACATTAAAAATAGTGCTTAATGCTAATATAATCTGTGGACAGCTTCTATAGAAAATTAGAATTATTATCAGACTTCATAGACAATGTTGCTTATGGTGTTCTTTTAGCATTCTCCTCGGCTTGTAGGTGTGTGAGAGGCTGCCTGTGTAGGTAGAGCAGAGTCAGCCCTAAAACTCAGATTTAACAAGAACTGAATACTTGAATTTTGTTTTTATGAAATGTACATATAAACTATTACATTGTCACTGAGGAAAGATATTCATTCCATATCCCTGGGTGAGTAAATGAAGTGTAGGTAGATTTCAACTGAAACAGCAGTCAATGCCAGATTAAATACTTAGTTTCCAATGGCAAATATAAAAATCCAATTATAGGAAAGGAAAAATAACAGTGAAATTGGCAGTTTTCCATGGCTTTTAAAAGATAAAACATGCGCCAATGTACTTAAATACCAAGCCATCAGAATTTCAGCTATGATTGGTTAAATTTTGCTTTCATAATAATCCATAATGTTTTCCCTAAAGTCAGACTAAATGCTAAATTTGGCAATATTGGCCACTTCCCAAAATTATGATTCCCACAAAACTGTGCATAGACTTTTAATGCAAAGATCAGCATATTTTGTGTTTATCTTTCTTAGTAAAATTGAGTCAGCTCCTTCGTTCCTTTTAAAACTCCCAGACATACTAAATTTAATACTTGTGAAATTTGTGCAATTGCAAAGTCAAGTTGGATGCCTTCTTGTAGTCACAATAATCTTTACGCTTCATGCTTGTGTGAAGATTGTGTTCTCTAGAAGTCATGAGAACATTTTAACACCAAAAATTTCAATCATGTCATAATTGCTTGATTTTTATTGACAGGTTTGGCTCAAGTAGAATAATCTAGGAATATACCATTTGCTTTAAGTTGGGCTTTTTTTGCTTTTATTCTTTACTTAATAGGCAGAAGCATGCTTGATATTGTAATTCATAGATTTTTCCCCATGATGACAATGCTCACAACAAAGAATTTTTCTTACTAAAACTTGAAATCACACTTGCTTGAGCTAGCAAAACCAGTGAAAATAATGGTAGAAAGTATGATTAATTACTTCTAAGGGTAAAGTAATTTCTTTGAAAAAGGATGAAGGATTGAAAAGAGGAAACAAAAATTTCTTGCATCATCATGTTCTTCTAAATTTGTTCAAGAGTTCAAGGTCATTTGGGGGTCATATGTGCCACATGCTCATGTCACTTGATACAACTCTCAATATTCTGACATTTTTTGGAAGCAAAACCAAAGAAGGAAAGAAGAAGTTCACGTACATGATATTCATGTCTGCATAATTTCTATTTGTAAAATTCAGAAAATATTCCAACAGTAGAATTATGAAGCAAATTAATGTGCAGTGGTACTTCAAAAGGTTTATAGAGAAATGAAATGAAAAGATGAATTTGATTCAGAAAATTTTTGGAATCCATGCAGTTTTTTTTCATAATCTGTGTTTCCCATGAACATTTTGAAGACCCGTGATGCCTTCAAAGTACAGTCTATCGTGCAGTCATCACAGTTGGTGTTTTTGAAGAAATTTTAAGATATGGGGAAAAAGTTGACAACATAAGTGCAACCAGAATAAATGTATGCAAAGAGAAGCTGTAAGGAAACACTTTGAGCATGTTAATAGTAACTGTTTTCTCACCTTTTTCTACTGCATTTCTGTAATATGATATATTACTGTTTTTAAAGAAATAGTCATTTTATTTTGATAATTTTATTTTCATTATAAAGTAGTATCTTAAAGGAAATTTTGAAAATATGCTTGATCAATTTAGAAGTCAAATTCTCTTTAGACACTTCTATGTACCAACAGAATTTTCTCACATTTCACAAATCAAATCACAGTCAACTCACCTTTTTCAAATGTATTTAAAGTTTTTTGTAGCAGAACAAAATTATAATGCTAATGTTTTATTAGTATTTAAATTTAGTTCCGAAACACATCTTCTAGAAGGACCTGCACTCTCCCACCATAACTGATCTTCTCCCATCCTCAACTTCCATAATTCCCTCATTCATATGGGCACCTCATCATTACCACCTCCTCTCAGCCAACTGTCATCTCTCTGCATTCAGGAACCCATGTGTTAGTAGCCAGTATATACTCACTGGGTGTTAATTAAATGAAGTGAATTTATTATGAAAAATTTCTAATGAGATCGATGAATTTTGATATCCTAGGTCCAGAGCTTTGAGGAAGACAGTGGTAATGGTCCTGACCTGACTTCAGGAACCACAGGTAAGAATTCATCACAGTATGTCATTGTATCACTGGTCTTTCAGAAAGAGAATGTAAACAACTGATACTTAAGTTTCTTCCTCTGCACAGAGCTGAAATTATCTCCAGAAGGTACCCTACATGTATGTATCATGTGTGCCATTCAAAACCTACTAGCGATGCAAATGCATGTGTAAATTTTACAATGCCACTGAAACGTTGAGTATCTCAGGGATTAATGGAGTGTATGGCTTTTATAACACTATCTACGTGATCTGATCACTATAGTATAATGGATTTACATAGGAGTAAGACTGTTGTTGAATACCCTCTTAATTCTCTGACAATTGTTTTACTGAGGCTCAGTTTTTCTGTCAGTAATAGAGATGAGCACAGAGAAGTTCAGATAATTTTTAAGTTTTCTGCTAGCACTTACATCCTAAATGCAATGGCCCTGGCATAAACAGTTGTTACAAACTGCCTACCTGAACCTTGCAAATCATCTCAGAATAACTCTACACATCCTAGACAGCAGAGATTGGAAGGCTCTCTCCTGTCTGTAATTCCCCCACTCAGCCATCAATGTGATCCACTATTTCCATGATCTTATAACAGAACTAGAAGTAGGCAGGGATTAGTGAAGCAAACTAGAGCAGCTGAAGCTGGTGTGCTTCCTGGAAGAAAATATGCAAATTTTTAATTTAATTTCGTGTGGTGTCAAACAAGTCTTTTTCATTACAAAGTGTATGTATGGGTCTCATTTTGCTAAATGCTGTTTAGAAATTATGCATTAGTAATTATAGGGTCCTGCTGATTACATAAATTGTTATTCTGTTCTTCGAAGTAATTACCACGTAACCTGCATTGAGCTTTATAAGACAGAAATAAGCATCTGTTTTCCATATAATTGAATGCTTCTCAATGAAGCTGGGGATCCCTTTGCCAATAGGAAATGCTTTACTTGACATTCAATTAGTAGGTGCACTAAAACCATGTAGGTTGTCCCAGACATCCGAAAAAATTATCTGAGAAATTGGACAGCAGTTTTAATCTCAAGTGGAGATAAGTAAATGTTATTATAATGGAGGAAATCTGCCTTATTACACAATCAATGACATTTCATCATTTTCAAAAATGATGTAGTTAATTTAGGAAAATATTGGGCTGGAAAATAAGTAAAACTAGTTCAATTAATAAGGAAAACATATATATGTGTGTGTTCATATATATATAGTAATCATATATGTGTTTTGTAAACTCCCCTGTAGTTGCTCTGCAATATGTCTGTGAACTGCTCCAAGCTCAGTGACTTTGTTTGAAAGAGGAATTGCATAGGCTGTTTGGCCAATAGGATATGGCAGGAGTGAAGTTGTGTTAGTTTAGGACAGTCCCTCTACCTTTACTGGCTGCTTCCTGGCTTTAAAGACATCGTCTCTGAGAACACACTCTCTGGTGAGGCAGCTCCCGTGCTGTTAGCTCAGGCTACAGAGCGGTGCTAACGTAGGCACCCAGCAGGTGGGTCTGGAGCTATCTCCTACATGAAGAAGCCAACTCTGTCATCCTACGCAGTCCAACTCTGAGCTGAGTTTTACCCGGACACCATCTGACTACATTTTCAGGAGAGAACCTCAGTGACAGTCACAGAGCTCAATCTCTCCATTCCCCAGAATTAGGGAGAATCATAGTGAACAGCTGCTTTATGGCACACACATATATACAGATCAATGAAAACTCATTCACAACACTCTGAGTATTAGCATAAATATGTATTTAAGCATTTATGAGATGCATTTCAGCAAATGATTCCTCATAGAAGATAGGGACCCAAGGCCACAAATTTACTAGCTTCCTTTAACTCCTGAAAAAAGGTATCACTGAAATAACACGGTAACATAAGCAGAAGGAAGTATAAGTGCTATTTGAAAGCCTGGAGAGGTACCCATTATTAACCTCAGAAGCGGAAAGGAGGAATGGCTGAGATGGATTAGGAGTGAAATTGCAGGCTAAAATGGAAGATTAGATTAGAAAGAGGAATCCATTGCAAAACTATAGATTAAAAAGAGGAATCCATAGCCAACATGGAAAGGGTAACTCCAACAGTCCAATCTATGCTGGTTTTTTGATGTTTTTACTTCAGTTTGGTTGCTTCCAAATAATCTCTATTCTCTAGTAGAATTCATCATGTGCTTATGAAGTATATGATGGCACCATTTTTCCCGAGAGACTTCTGTGTTTCCTTTTTGTCATGCATGTGTTGGCTATTCAGTGGTGTTACTTTTTTTCAGGGTGATATACTTTGTTGTCGATGTTGTTGGTGTTGTTGTTGATGTGGTTGTTATGAGTTGATGTCAATCTGAAACAGTAATATTATTTCAACCCCAAACAACCTGTATCTCACGCAATAAGATATTGTGAAGTAATCAAGGAATCAATAATCGATATGAGTAGACTGCTTCTGATCTACATCAAAGAATTGTAAAATTGTAAGGCTCTAAACAAGATGGAAGAATCCACCATGGGGGGGGAGCGGGTTTTGGGGAGGGGAGGGGGGAATCCCAGTGCCTGTAAAACTGTGTCTCATGATGCAATGTAATAACATAATAATAATAATAATAATAAAATAGAAAAAAAAACAATGCTATCTACACTTAGAACAAAAATCACTCCAGAAATCATCTGTGCTTTAGACATGGGTGTCACTTACAGACATCCCGATGGATAAACAAAATAAATTAAGAATTAAAAAAAAAAAAAAAAAGAGGAATCCATTACAAAACTATACCCACATATTGAAACCATAATTTCCAAATAGACATCACATAACCAAATAAGACTAACGACTTCTTTCTTGTTATCTTACAAAATGAGCAAACACAGCAAAATCATCGCAAGTTTCAGCTTTGAAAAACAGAGGGTATGAGGAAGAAATGCTCACCAATGAAAGATACACTGTAGGAGCTGGGGTTGTGGTGTACCTGGTTAAGTTGCTGTTTCTGACACTGGAATCGCCTGTCAAAGTGCTGGTTTGTATTCTGAGCACTGTGCTTCACATCCAGCTCCCAGTTAATGTGCCTGGGAAAGCAGGATAGGATGGCTTAAGTATTCAGGTCCCAGCCACCCACCTGGGAGAACTACATGGAGTTTTTGGCTCCTGGCTTTGTCCTGGCCTATACTTGGTTGTGATGTCAACTTGAGTAGTGAAAAAGCAGATGAACTGTCTCTTCTCTCTCTCTCTCTTTCTCTCTCTCTCTACATATATGTGTTTCTTCCTCCCACTCTCTCCCTCTCATCCATTCTGCTGTCTCCCACTCTTTCAAATAAAGAATCTTAAAGAGAAGAGTGAGTTATAAAGAACCATTCATCACCGTTAGGGATGAGTCTCCTCAGTGAGATACGGAGTATTACATCTAAGTACATCTATAAGGAGTAAAGATTCCTTTCAGGTAGAACATAAAATATCTGATTGTGGCTATTACTAATGGACTACCCCCCCCATAGAAATATCTGTTAAACTCTTGATAAAATATGTTTAAACTACTACATACAGGCACTGGAGAGTGGCCAAATGCAGACAGATAGTGGAGGAAGTTGTAACACTTGGGGGAAAAAAAAGGTACAATCTAAGCATCACGTTTTTAACAAGCATTTTGCCTGAGGGCAGGCTCTGATAGGCACCATTATTAAAACTTTCATAGAAAGTTGCTGTTACACTAGCTAGCAAAATCAGAAGACAGAGAGTTGACAACAGCTTGAAAATAAAAGAATGAGAATCCCAAGCAGGAACATTTCCCAAGTTGTGTGTATAGGGTTTTATAAGGCTTAGGTGCAATACAAATGTATTGGCCATGCAAAGAAATAAGAAAATATAATCTCCATGCAAGAAAAAAAGACAGTGAAGACAAAATGTAAGAAAAAAGGTGGATGTTAGAATTAGCAGTTAAGAATTTGAAGATTCTAATTGTTCTGAACTACGTGAAAGAAAATATGCTCACGGAGAATAGAAGCATCTCAAGAGCAAAACGGAAATGGAGATGAATGAAGTGAAATTTTTGTAAATGGAAGTTATGATTTCTGAAATTAAAAATATATTGGGTGGGTTTAATGACTAATTGATTAAAGAAAGACTTGATGAACTTTCATACAGATCAAGAGAATTTATCCAAAAACCTGAAGAATTGGGAAAAACAGATTTACAAATTATATGAAAGGTTATCTGAATTTCAGGAACCTGTGGGACAGCAGTTGTTGTCTGCAGCGGAAAAGATCCAGAGAACTAAAAAAATAGACAGTGGTGTTAGGGTCATTCCCTAATTTACCCACAAATTTACATTTCCAGATTCAAGTGGCTCAGCAAACTCCAAGAAGAAGAGAGCCACCAAAAAAAACTATGCATGAACAATGTTATAATCAAAATGATAAAAATAAAAGCTAAGAAAGGCACAGGAGGATGATATATTGAATACAAGAGAATTATGATTGAATTTATCAAAAAACTTGTTTCTAAAAACTGTGGGTACCAAAAAATAGCACCACGAATCAGAATCCTATTCACAGCAAATTTATCCCTCAGGATAAAGGTGCAATAAAGACAAAACAAAGGTTTTTTTTCTTTTTACAAAACAAAGATAATTTGTTTTTTTATACAAAATAATTCAGTATCAGCATACCTGTATTGTAAGCAATGCTAAAATACGCTCTTCACCTAAAACAGTGTGTTTGATTCCATAAGTTGATGTGGCATATCATAGAGGCTAGAAAGGGAATAATATGATTATAAGGTTTCCATATTTTATGTAAAATAGTACAATGTACAATCTAAGTAGACTGTGAGAAATTAGGGATAAAAAGTTCCCACTAAACAAATCAAAATAATAGCAAAATGCTAATATAAAAGTAAAGCATAATTGAAGAAACATTGAAGTCAATAAGTAACAAACTGGTGCAGAAAAATGACTGAAAAAAGAGAAGATATGCGATATGCATGAGAAAGTACTTAACAACAGCCAAACTGAGAAAGAAAA